GTTTGAAACGCTCGTGCATACCATTCGAAATGGGGGAAATGCGTCCGAGCAGAAACATGCAAACGGTNCGGGGGGAACCTTTCGCACCGATGCGAGACAGAGTGGAACGGGGCTCCATGCGAGCGACAACGCGGGCTTGCACCTTGTGGCACCCTCTGCCTTATCACCGCCTTCGTATCCAAAAAAAAAAAAGTCGATGCGTTCTGCTGTGAGTGCGGCCGCCTTGTTATCGCTCCCGCCGCTGATGCGATAAGTATTGTCTTAGGATGCCCTTTGTTACTACCGTGGGGGGAAAAAAGCATTGTTTATATATAATATATATTGCCAATGGTGTGCAGTTTAGTTGCGTTTTTTTCCTCTTTTTCTTTTTCAGGGGCTCCACCGCTCTCTCGCCGTTTCTTGTTTTTTTTCTTTTTTTTGCGTTTGACGTACGCTCGTATTTTTTCGGAGTAGCGGAGGCTCGAGGAACAATTTGGACGAAGAGGGAGAAACAGGCGAGTGAAAGAAGTAGCTTGGTGAACTTTAGGGCGATTGACGAGGAGTGTCGAGAGGCGGATGCAGACGTTAACAAAATGAAATCGCGACAGTTAAAGTTATGCACCTATCGATTTGACGGTCCTCATGTGCTGTGTGAATTGCGCGACAGTGGAGGGCGTCGGTTTCAGGATTCACTCCCGCCTTACTCCGTGCTGGAGCAGTGTTGTTCAAAAGTGGTAGACATGCATGCCGATCTCGTGGCGTTGCAGAATGTGCACCCCAAAAAAATGGTTGAAAAGTTGTTGTTGCCCCCGCTGGCTTGTAGTCATACTGCTGGTTTGGGTTTTGCGTACAACACTGAAACACTAAGGTTGAAGGAAAAGAAGGAGGTGAATCTGTTCAGTCTGGTGCTTTGCCGTGCGAAGACGGAACTTGGATACGCCAGCTGCTTACCTTCGTTTCGATTTCGTCACTCAGAGCCATATATACCGGCCACATATGCCTTATTTGAGATGGTTGCTGACGCCAACGACCCACCTGTTTCGTTTATTGCTCTGAATTGTGATTTCTCACGGACGCCAGCAAAACTGCACAGCTTTCGATGTGCGTTGATTTCTGAGATGATTCGGGTTTTGTACGAGGACATTAACCTGACGGAGTGCTGGGGAACCGGACGAGTTTTGCTGCTTGGTAGTTTTAAATCGCCTCGTGGCTCACTCCCGTACGATTATTTAACAAGGTTTTCTGGAGTAACTGAGGAGGAATTCCAAGTGCGCGCAACTCGATCAGAAGTGCCTCCAATAATGGAAAATGCAGCGTCTTCTCCGTGCGTCGTGCGCCGCTGGTGTTTTCTTAATATATCCACGAATCGCGTTCGCCAGCTGCATCATCTGACAAATGTAGTTATTGAGGCGCGTGGTGGTTCCCTGGACAGTGTGCGAGAATTGGAACTCACTACACTGCACGACGAAGTCGGTCTTCCTGGGGTGGTGAAAAGGGACACGGACAGAATTACCCTATTATTTAATCCTCCTTATGAGGTGACAGGAACACAGCGACATTTCCGTTTGGCTTGGCGGGAGTACCGGGAAAGTAGCACTTCGCCGCTGCTGGAGCTTGGGTCAGAAGAATATCCTATTAGGTTGTATCGTTTATCGCACGGATACAGCAATTCCGGTCTGATGGAGAAGACAGGCCCTCGCTTCCGAAGCATCTATGCAAGTTGCATTCACCAGCAGCCTCACTGTGGCATGGAAGCACTCTTGGATAAGCACGCAAAGCTGCAGAACGTCACGGTCCCGTTTGAAGACACCTCCTCCAAATTGCATATCCAGCAGGTCTTGCCTCGAGGCCTAGGATGCGATAATGTTTCGTTTCGTTCCTGGGGACGTGAGTCTTTGCTTCCCCCGTTTGAGGAAAGCTCAACTTTGGGGCCGCAGTCTACAGCATTTTCCCCACAGAAACCTTGTTTGGGGCTCTCTGTGATTCCCACACTGGAAGCGACGGCTGAGGGGTGCGAGGAGGAAGGGGATTTCGTGTGCGGTACACAAGACTACATATTATACAGTGCATCATCTTTCTGCTGTGAGGAGGTGGGTGCACTCCCATCAATTGTGGAGGCGTGCGCGGGTTGGCTTTTGCCCATGAAGGACGAGGGTGCGCCGTCGAGTCATCTGTTCTCCTGCACAGTTGCGATAAAGGCATAGCAACAAGTTGTGAGGAGAACAACTGAAGGGGTCGGGCCACAACACGTGGCCATTTTTTTTTTTTTTGCGTCAACTGTTCATGTGGGTGGTATTGAAGGTGGCGGGGCATGCCTAATAATTGTCCAATCTTTTGATTATTACAACGGCTTGTATCAACGCTTTTGTTCTGACTACCAGTCTTACAGGTGCTGATAATGATGGTTTCCCCCGCTATATATATATATATATATATATATTGTTTTTTTCTCCGAATGCATTTTTTGGGGCGCAGGCCGTATGATGCAAGATGCCGACGTTGGACTCGTGCCAAGGCGGAATCCCTTCAAAACGCAATGGCGCACAAATCTGCCGTCCTTTCATGAGTGCTTGGCGTCGCTGGGGAGTCGAGAAAATTTTCGTAGCTTCGGTGAGGTGTTGGCCGCGGTTAGTCCGACCCCACGTGAAGTCGTCGAAACGTCTTGTGCGCTCACCTCACCGAAGATGAATAGGAATGCAGACTTCTCCTTTTTGACGTTGGAGGTGTCAGACATCACGATGCCAGGAACTCCTCCTCAGCCAGTGGAGCGCTATCAGCAGAGCTGCGCCTCCTCAACCGAGCGAACCCCGCGACGTACCAATGACGAAGAGAGGGGTAGAGAAATCTCTCTTACGCCGCCCCAACTTCCTCCATTGTGCCCCAACGCCTCCCCCATTGCACACAGTCCTTCGGCGCTAGGGAACTCTTGTTCAGTCCCACGAACAGAGCCACAAGAAGTGTTGCCCACACATTCCGCTGAGCGCACGGCGTCAGCACTGTTGGAGGAGAGAAAAGATGTGGGCGCCGTGTTTACGGCGGAAATTCCCAATGCCCCCATAGATCACTCTGCTCGTTTTGAAAGGGTGACTGCTTTCATGCCGTGTGAAAATTTTATCTCAGAAAACAACAATATAGTGGGCGAGTGGGGTTATATTAATCAGCGTGTGGACAGCATTATCCCTCCTTTGTGTGAATGGAGGGACGGGGATTGGTTCAGTGACACGGTGAACTCTTACGGCGACTTTGCGTATCATCATCCTTTGCTCTATCAGGCCACTGCAGACACGACAAGAGAAGCTAGATTAAGGAGGCACACTTTTTTGTAAATGCGCATGATGCGTTGCCTACTTGGGCACACTTACAATCAAGTGAGTTATGTTTTATGGGTTACCGCACATTTTGTGTTGAGGTGGTGCCGCGGTGTGAATCAGAAAAGGCGCACTAGAAATAATGGAGAACGGAGAAGAGGTTTCACGGCATTTTGGTTCTTCACTTTGCCCTGGATCTGTGGAGAATTTTTATTGTTTTTGGAGCATCTTTTTCAAGGGGCAAGGAGGGTTGAAGAAAAAGTGTATATATACATGTGTATATACATGCATATACTACTTTTTATTTTCCTTTTCTGCTTCTCTTTTTTATTATTTATTTTTTACCTTCAAGCAGCCACAACAAAAAGAAAAGGCCCGCAACATGAACTTGCGTTGTGTACGGAAATGGATGTAGACCTTTAAATCGTTGAGGCATCTTCTCAACATCTGCAGAACGTTGTAGCGAAATGGATCTTTCCATTGCGTCGATTTTGCAAGACGAGAAGAGGGCAATCTGCTCTCTGGCTGAGTTTACGACCTTTTTTATTTTTTTATTTTCAGACACTCCTCGTAGGTGACGTGGTAGATGTGCGTCTCACTGTGGAGTCTTTGTTAGCAAGGGGGCTTCGCGGAGGAGGCCCGCGGTGCCTTAATAGACCTATTTGCTGAAGTTACTGCTCCTCTTGCAGCGTTGCAGCTTTCTCTCTCTTTCCCGTTTTTTTTTTTTTTTGGGTATACCGTCAACTGGTGTAGGAGATTTCTCTCCGCTTTTTCCCTGCTTTTCCTCAAGCTGTCCTAATGATCTCCAGTCAACGTTCTCTTTTGCGTCTATTCTTTTCCAACAGGGCCACAAGTGTTGCTGTTGTTGTTTTCTTTTTCTGCATTTAAACGTATTTGCTTTAAATGTGGGAAATGTGCCTCGTCTCGCCACCACGGCGATCGCTGAGTGCGCCCTGCACGACACTTCGTCATGTGTGCTCTGTTTCCGCACATGAGGACAGTGAAGGGGAATTGCGTGCTGAGGTGGTGGAAGCTGCATCGTCTCTTGCCAACCCTCGCTTGCGCATAACGAGGGTGGCCTTTTTGTTCCCCTCCTGTATCACGAGTGTCTCGTCTAGCGCCGAAAATACAGGGGGCAGTGAGGCTTGGGAGCTTCTATCGAACTCACGGGCGCGCGTGCAGAGTGAAATTGGTGGTGAGCCGGTTATTTTTGACCGCCTTAGAATGGCAAATTCACAAATACATCTTTTGAATAGCATGAACGGGCACACATTGCAGAGGTGTGCTGAGCTCGAGAAAAGTAATGTATCACTTGGCCGTGCACTGATGCAGGCCATTGACGAGAACCGACATCTGAATGAGCGGTTGCAGAAGTGTTTGAAGGAGCTTGATGAAAAGAAACATTTGGTGGCGGTGCTGCAGCGAGAGTTGCAGGCTGCTCGGCATGCGACAACCGCGCGGTAGATCTCAACATGACCCCAAGCGAGTCACCAGTTGTATGCTAGAACTCCACCATCAAATAAATGACTCAAAAACGGGGCCAATAAAAGAAAGAAATGGCTCAAATGTGTTTCTATTTACTTTCTGTGCGTGTTTTTTTCTAGTTGTTGTTGATCCTCCTTTTTTTTTCTTTTATGCACGATGATTGTTCACTATTTTCATGATGTCCTGTGCGTTGTTGGCTCTTCTTCTTGTTTGGCTTGCCAAATACGATTTTTCTCTTCTCGTTCTGCGTAGGGAAAACACTCATTATGAGGCGTGTGTCACTTACCGTCTCGTTGCCGTCGGCGTATGTAAGGCGTGCGATTTTATTTAGCCCCCGCTACGATTGGCGTACCTCGGGCGTGCACGACGTCGCTCCGAGGGATGAGGGAGATTTTGTGTACGAGGGGGCAAAGCAGACGCTGCCGGGGGCTCACCCTCTGCCATTGTACCATCCCCATAACACCGTTACCCGGCCTTTAATTTCGCCCTATTTACCTTCACCACAACGTACTCATCCGTACTTTACCGAGCCTGTATCTGAGTTGCCACACTTTAACACGACAAAACCGGTGGTATACACATGTGGGACGATAAAACAACGGATTATCGTTCCAGTTTTTAACCTGAAGAACGAAATAACACATACACGAGAGCTTGATCCATTTGTCTTTGGCATGTATCCAGAAACGGAAGAGCTCAGCAAGAATCTTACCTACTGGTTAGTGCGGTGTCAAAATTTTGCTAGTAAGTGGGACTACGAAACACGTGAGATTTGGAGAAAGGCTAAAAAGAATTGGCCCAACACAGGGATGGGAATGCCACGCGTCAGCAATAGGAAGAATCATCAGTATCCGTGGGGCGGGCGCACGAAGCCGTCCAAGCCGTGGAATATGCTTATGCCTACTATGGATGTCAAGACATGGAGTAAAAGTAACCGTATGATGTTGACCGTTAAAATGCTACAAGGACGGCTGCAGATTGTAGACAAACTTACCTTGTCAGAGCCCACACAAGAGTGCTATCTGGATCTTTGTAGCACAATGTTGTGGGATGTACGGCACACCGGAGGTGGGGTTTTATTCATGGATGGGGGTTCCCGTATTACTCCTAGCATTGAATTTGATCGCTTCTTTTTTTTTGGTAGCTTTTTTAATGGTAGAAACAAAGTTGTTCGACCTACTCTGCTGTGTGATGAACAGTACGATTACAACAAGACGGCAGCTAAGCAACGAATGAAAGGTCCCAAGGGCCCCAAGAATCCTATTCCTATTAACCGTTTTAACGTTTATGACGCGATGCAACACGAACGACTAGTTATTACAGAAGGTGCAATTATGCAATTAGAGGAGGAAATGTACGAGCACAAGTTGCGTATTCTCCCTCCACATATTCGCAATCAGCTTCCTGAGCGTGGTTACCTTGATAGCGAAACACTTGGCAATTGTGTTCCGTCCTTAAAGACAATTCAGATGGAGGCAGCTGCTCGCACAGAGGAGATTGAAAGCAGTATGTATCAATCTTTTGCTGACAATCCTTACCAGCTTTGGGAAGACGAGGCCAAGGCCTCTTATTCGGTTGATGCCGTAGATGGAACAATTCAACAGTTTGTAAATGGAACGAAGTCCTCATGGTCGATGCTCTCGTAATTTCATCCCCCCTCTTTTTTTTTGCGTGTGTTACCTGATTTTGACGTTGAAGGATGATATTGAGCGTTCGTGTATGTGTGTGTGCGCTTGTCGTTACGTGTATATGTGCTTTTTATTGTTGAGGCTGCGTTGTGGGAATTATCAGTTCCCCCCTTTTTTTTTGTGGTATACACACAATCTGCTCTTGTTCAAGTAGATGAAGCTGGCCTCCAAAGGGCCCATTTTGCGGTGGTCGCTGCGGAACCCGACGACAGGAGCCATTTTTTCACGGAGTGACTGGCGGTCAGGCCGTGACCTTGGCCGTGAGGAGAGGGACTCAGGGTTGTTGCTTCGTCTGCGCGATATTGGCAGTCATGTGTCGGATGGTGCCCTTCCCGTTGCAGTGGTCAAAGCACAGCCGAGTGACTTTCAGGTGAATGAGATCGACGCAAGTGGAAGCGTGGCCACTTTGGAAAAGGCGCCTAAGGGAAAGTGGCGGAAAATATCACGCCCCAAAACGCTCCTCATTGAGGATGACGCGGCAACTCCATTTGGTGATCCGGCAAAGACATTTACTCCACGGGTACAAAGTTATGGGGAATATGTGAGAGTCTTGGGGAAGCTTCCGCAGGACTCTCCCATTTTGCGGTTTGTCGTCTACAGAGACGCCTATTCGCTTCTTAGCGTTGAAAACCGTATGAGGTATGCATTGTCTCTTCAACCGGGCTCTGCATTATTGTGTGAATCCTCTGGTGGTTCGTTTGGTTGTATTTCACAGTATGGCATATGCATTGGCATTACAAGGGAGTTTCTTCCACACGCTTCGCGTCATTACAACTTGCATCCTCTTATTTTCAACCCTCAAGCATACCATGCAGCAGATAACCTTGAATTTTTGTTGCGGAGACCCTCTGGGTATTACTACCGTCTTGTTTTGCGTTGTGTCGAAGGAGACCCGGATACCATAAACCATCACCTAAAACGATTAAGTGAAAGAGGATTTATTAATTATTTTGGTGTAGAAACGTTTGGGGTTGGGTCCAACAGATTGTTTGAACTCGCCGCTTTTGCAGCACAAGGGGATTTCCGACAGGCGGTGGGTGGTTTGCTTCAATGCGTTGCGGAGTGTGATGGCTTGCATCACGATTACTACATCAAGTACCTGAACGCAGATCCCAGCACTGTACAGGGTATGTCAAAGTTGTGGGCTGATGCGGCAAAACACATGCGATCGCAAAAATGGGTGGTTGACTTATTGAGAGGTGTGGTAAAATATCATGAGAGTGGAGAAGCGGGGGAACATCTTTCTGCGATATGGGATTCTCTCCCTATTCGGGATAGGGTTCAGGCTAGTGCAGCGGAGTTTGTATGGAATGCCATGGCCTCCCAAAGGCTCTTGTCGAGGGGCTTGAATGTGGTTGAAGGGGATGTGGTGCGGTTGCGCCTCTCCGACAGCTCTATCGCCATGGGCTCGTCTTCTGCTTCAGCTCAGTATAAACTGGTTACGGCGGAGGACATAAAACGAGGTGTTTACAATATTACAGATGTTGTACTTCCTGTTCCATACGGGACTGACGTCTTGAGTAACTGTGTGTTTCCTCAAATTGCGCCTTTGGATTGCCAGCTCTACAAGGAGTTTGCAGCAAGGCACGGCTTGTCTTTTTTGTTTGAGAAACCACTTGGGCCCTCTACGTTTCCACGAGAATTGTATCGGTCACTCGTAGAGAGACCTAGGCATCTTCAGGCTTCCGTGATTAACGACCCGAACTCTTTTACATGCTTAAAATCAGATCTTTTGATCATGCAGGAGCAAAAACGGATTCATGCGAAGGACATGGACTACGTCTCGAGGGTGCGGGAGCCCTGCGTGTATAATGTCTCGGAGCGTTTTGTGGAAAAAATTGAACCCATTAAAAAGTTTCATACAGGGCGTAATTCTGTCGTTGTGTTTTGTCGGCTTCCAGGGGGAACATCGCCGTTTGTAATGCTGAGAGAGGCATTTTCCCTTCGCTACGCTGCGTTTCAAGACATGTATGGCGTTTTGTAGTGCTCGTATGGTGTCTGCAGGGTACC